CTTCTATGCCAGACCGCAGCCAGCAAGGCCAGCCATACTTTGTCATGCATCCAAAGATGCATCTCAAGCTGATCCAGAGAGGTGATACTCCCCCTCTACACGACTTTGGTCAGGCTACAGTTGGAGTACTGTGTCCAGTACTGAGCGCCGCACTTCAAAAGGGATGCAGCCAGCCTGGAGAGGGTTCAGAGGAGGGCCACCTGCTTGGTGAGAGGGCAGCAGGACAGGCCCTATGAGGAGAGACTGAAGGACCTGAACCTGTTCAGCCTCAGCAAGAGGAGGCAGATCAACAGCAAATAGGCAGAGCCCTTTTCTCCCCAGCACCACCTGGGGTGACAGGGAACAATGGTAATAAGCTGATGGAGACCAGGTTTAGGTTAGAGATCAAAGGCAATATTTTACAGTTAGGGTGGCCAGAATCTGGAACCAACTTCCCAGGGAAGTGGTCCTCACCCCTACCTCGGGCAAATTCAAGAGGAGGTTGGATGATCACCTGTCTGGGGTCTTGTGAACCCAGCTTTCATCCCTGCCTGTGGCAGGGGGTCAGGCTAGATGACCTGTTCAGGTCCCTGCTGACCCTAGCTACTATGAAACTATGAAACCATGAGAGCCCCGAGCCCACAGCAAGCAGCCCACACCTGCTCCACACACAAATATGGGGGGCATATGCCCCCCCATGCCTCCCAAGAGTGGGGTATGGGGCAAGCTGCATGCTCCACAGAAACGCCTCAGCTGCACACACACTCCACTGCCCACCGCTGTCCCAGGTGGGGGCAGCTCAGGGCCAGAGCTAATGTCCCAGAGGTAAGAGGGAGGACAGGGATGCCTGCTTGCCACAGACCAGCTCCCAGGTCCCGGTGCAGCTGGTTCCTCGAGCCCTCGCCTCCCCCACATGGCACCAAAGGATGGGACGTGGGAGCAAGGGGAGGCCAAAGTACCTGCCAGGTGCCTGCCACAGACAGAAGTGGGTTGCTCGTGTGGCCTGAGCCACTTGCCCCGCACCTGCCCACAGTGCAGCCAGGACATGGAGCTCTGCCCCTCAACTTGATCCACAGCCTCCTGCAGGCAAAAGCCGCTGTTCACTGGGATGGGGGCAAGGCAGGGTGGTAGGTCAGGGAAAGTCTGGAGAAGTCTGGACTGGGGAAGGGGACAAGGCGGCCCCAGGGGATGAAGCCAGGCTCTGCAGGCTGGGACGACCCGGGAGCGGGGGTCAGCTCCCTTCCACACAGTCGTGGCCAGCAGCAGAGACAGCGGCACTGAGCCAGGCTGGGCTGCTCCACCCAGCCTCTGCTGCCAGAGCTGCTACCCTCAGGCTGGTACTGCTCTTCACTCCCTTCTCCTGAGCCGGGTGGTGGTGTGCAGTGCAGATGGGTCTGGCCCGGGGCAAAGAACAGGGGCCAGGAAGTGCAACCAAGAACAGCAATCAGGAAGCTGAAGGCACACTTTGTCAGGTAGGCATACCCAATACCTTGTATTCAGACAATGGGCCACAATATACAGCAGAGGAATTAAATATTTAGCATGTCATTTTGGCAAGCACACCATGTCTGTTGCAGGTCTCCCCAGTTCAGCTCCAATGTGTCTCCTGAAAATGGAGATGCATGGGGTAAAGTTCTATCTCAGGCTGCCGTTGCCATGGGGTGGAACTGCACCACATATCTCCAGGTGCAAGAGGCATGTCAGAGCTGATTAGGGAAAATCTGCAGCAGAAACAGTACAACTGCCTACACAGTGTAATGCAGGCAGCGCGCATTTCTGTTGCAGCTGCTTCTCAGTTTGGTTCGGACTTTGACCATGCTGGCTATGCAATCTAATCAATTCATGACATAGATAATTATAGCATACCATAATATTATTACCTATATAATTATGTTTGTGCTATAATAATAATCTTAATATATTCATATTAATTTTTAAAACAGGGTTCCCCATAAATTTTGAAAAGTTTTGGAGGGGTTCCTTGAGTCTAAAAAAGGTTGAAATCACTACTCTAACTGTTCAGGGAAGCAGAAAAAACTCACGTTTTTCAACTGCCGTGTCAGATTTAATTCCATAGTTCATCCAACCACAGGCATTTTTAAGTTATTTACAGACACACCCCATTGTCTAAAACCATTTAAGTATGAAAGTTGGAAGAAAATATATGAAGACAATGGCTCTTATTCATTTTCCCCTGGAATGCAGATAGAAAGGCCATTTGGTAACAGCAAGGAAAACATACTTGTGCTGTATACATGGAAGGCTAAAGTAGGATGGCGGCATTTAAGAAAATATTGTGGCTACTGCATTATATAAATTTTGCATACATATGGGGTATTGTGGCTGTTGCATTAGGAACACAAAATAATTTGTTTGCTTATGAACTTCAGGATTAGTCAAACCCAAGTACAAACAAAATCAGTTCTCATGCTGTTATAATATTAGTCATTTGCTTGCAGACTTCCAGAACTTCCTCATTATGTCATTTTCAATGCTCCAGTTCCACTGCTTTCACTTGGAAAAGTGTTCAGCACTTCCAAAAATCAGCCTCTTGTGTTATGCCATCTTAAAAGGCCCAGCCTGTACACAGCTGTGACCTATCCATGTCTATATTATCATTTTTTTTATTTTTATAAGGCAAGATATATCTATGGTGCTATTTTCCTGAAGATTACTACTGCAATGAATTTGTCTGTATGTGATTGGAAATGTTGATGCATGCCATGCCCACAATGCAGGAGTCTAATCTCACCTTTGGAAGAGTCATCATAGCCTATTCTCTTAAGAGTCTCTCGCACAATTTGCTGATAGTCTACTACAGCTTTGGAAGTGATCTCTCCACATAGCAAGATCATTCCAGTTTTTGCCACGCACTCTGTAAAAAAAAAGTGTCAATGAAGTAAAATGAAAATTACAGATATATTCATTTTGAAAGTGTATTTGGTCCTACAAATAATATGGAACAGAAATTGAGACTGACTAGACAAAGCACATTATGGAGTTGCGTCAATTATTAAGTCTGATGTTTAGACTAATTCTAAACCTGTCTTCTTAATAACCACAGATTCTTGTACACTCTGACACTTTGAGATGGATCTCCTGTCTTCTCCACCTACTTGAGACCATTCTGGCTGCCTGAGAGTCCCTGTGTAGAACTGGAATTCCTGAAGGTGCAGAGCAAGCACAACTGCTCTGCCTGACCTTTGGCATAAATTGCCAGCCAAGAGGGGGCACATCAGAATGGACCTACATTTTAGCTATCACCAGTTGCTATAACACCCTTTGGGCTCCTGGGGAGCCAAATAGATTATAGTCTTTTCAAACATGACTGTGTGTGGCATCATTCCCCTCCAGCTGCCTGTTACAGTCATGTTGGGTATCTTAATTTGGTTTAGGGACACTGTAAGGGCTGGATTATACTACAGACTAAAGTGTTGCATAGACATCCCCAAATTAATGTTAAACAAGATAGCTTGGGTATCAAAAGCAGCTTACCCTCAACAGGCCTGAGTCCAGCTGGGGCTAATTTATCCCATCTCTTGGCTCATACCAGGCTCCTTGCTGCTGCAGCTAGACCAATTTAGATACATAAGCTAGTTTGGGTCTCAGTCCACAACACCAACTTCTGCAGTCCTGATGAAGTGCCAAGGTAAGGGTGCTCACCTTTTGACCAAGAGCTTAGGGGCTAGTGCAGGGGTGGGTAAAATATGGCCTGCAGCCTGGATCTGGCTTAACAACAGATTTGATCCGGCCTACGGGTAGATGGCCACCAACTCACTGGCTCTGTCCCGCAGGCAGCTGGAGGCTACAGCCACCATGCGGTGCCAGGCAGGCAGACAGGACTTCTGCCCAGCAGCATCAGCCCTTGATGCAGCAGCAGCATCTGTGGACCTATGCGGGGCTTCCACTGCAGCAGGTGAGCAGGCAGCAGCGTCAACTGTAGACACAACCAGCAGGTTCAGGAGCCCCAACATAGAATTTGCCAGTGGCATCTGCAGCTGACACTGCTGTCCTCCAAGCATGGTGGAAGCTCCCACCTGGAGCCCTTACCTGGAGCCTGCTGGCAGAATCAGTTCTGGACCCAGACTGAGCTTCTGCCTCACTGAGCAGGCATCAGTGTTAGCTGTGGCCAGCAGAGGCAGATTCCACATCAGGGCTCTGGAATCAGCTGGCTCTGCCCACAGCTCACACTGCTGCCTGTCCACCACAGTGGAAGTCCCCATCTGGGTCCACAGCTGAGCTCTGGGGCTCCTGGTGAACTACAGCTCTAGCTGGGTTCTGGAGGGAAGGAAGGAGAGAGACAGAGACAGAGACAGAGGAGACTGGGGAGATATAGGTTCCATTTTTGGCCTGGCCACTAGTCTGTTAGATGACCTTGAATGAGCCACTTCCTTCTTTGTGCCTCAGTTTTCCCATCTGTAAGACAGGGACAAGTATACTGATCTCCTCTGAAAAGCACTTTGAGATTAGCTGGGGAAATGCTACATAAGAGCTGCATATATTGTATCAATACATTTACCTTTATTCATCAAGCTATTCATCAGAAATAATGAAATCACGTTTGCTTGACCAGCCCTGTTTTCCATGAAGCCATTTGATTTATATGAAGTATACTCCTGTCCTTTTATTGATTCCTATATCAGAATGTGCCATTATATTGCCTGTTGGGCAGTCACCGTGTAAGGATGTATACCCCGATGTCTTGCTGACATTCACTGGTCCCTCAGGGTGGTTGCGCCCCTATGGTTGAGCTGGGTGAGATCTGGTGCCCTTTCTTTTCCCGCCTGCCACAACTTTGATGATATAGGAGATTCATAAAAGGGAGGTGATGACTGCCCGTCTCATGCCCAGATCAATCACAGGGGCTGCCTAGCACCTGAAGTCCGAGCCCAGAAGTGAAGGAAGGACCAGCCTGGAGCCAACTTTCCGATTCCGCTTTTTTTTTTTTTTAAGTCCTTTGACCTTTGCCCTTTTCTTCTCCCGGGCGTCTTCAAGGTCTGGTGCCCTGGTGCCTGGGGCCGTTACCCCAGGATCTTCAGCGATCCACCTTCCCGCCCTGGTCTCTTCTCCGGGACTTTAAAGACGAACCGCAGAGGGCTTAATTGCTGGCAAAGCCACTTAAGTAGCTGGGGATTCCCTCCGGAGCAATCAGCTGGGGACGGGGCATGGTCCTCGCTGCTCCTGGTTTCTGCCCGCCCCCTGTCTCAGCCGTGGAGCCTCTTTGGGGACCCGCTTCCCTTCTCTTCCTGGGTAGATGCCTGGCCTTGGTCTGATCTCTTTGACCAGCCAAGGGATGTCCCCGGGAGAGAGCGAAGAAAAAGTATGGAAAAAAAATAAAATGCCGCGGCGAGCGGTTCGGACTGATCCCTCGCCTCCACCGTTCCCAGGGTCTTTCCCGGATCCCCTTCTGGTACCTTGCCTCTTCCACCCTCCTCTTCACTCCTGCAGTGAGGGTGCCACCACCTCTTCCAAATCGGACCAAGGGCTTATCCACGCTTCTGGCTCCTCGGTTCCTCGCCTCTGCTCCTTCGGCGTCCCTCCTCCTCCGGGTCCACCCCTGGCCTCCTGATATAGCCCGCACTGTGGATTGGCTCCAATTCGCTTCACTGGGTGTGGAGGTAAAGCCGAGCTGGTGCAGATTGGGAGCTCTCATTGTACCATGGACTTCGCAGCGTGAGGTGGTCCATGTCCCTAGCTGGGGATACACCCTTGGTGAGTGCCCTCCGGGCTCTCACATTGCCAAAGACTGATGTTAGGCTGATACTTTCCAGAGTCATTCCACTTGCCCATTTTGAAAACTGTCCCAGCATTAACACTCATCTAATGTTTTGGGTTTTCCCTGCATTTTTTTAGATTTATTAAGAAATAACACCAAAATCTCAGGTATCTCCACAGTGAACTCTCTTAGAACTCTTGGGGACAAGTTTTCAAGCCTGCTGATTTAAAATATTTTATCTTTAGTAGATGATGTCCAACATGCTCCTCAGGATACAATGGGGTTGATCACTTTCACTATCCATCACATAGCTGGCAAGTCAGCCAGCAATGCAGGAGTCCTCGACTTTAGGAAAGCTGACTTTCATAAGCTCAGGAGGTTTGTTCTTGAGGCCCTGAGAGACCAGGATTTCACAGGGAAAAATTCATAGTTTCACAGGGAATTCATAGTTTCATAGTTTCTAGGGTCGGAAGGGACCTGGGCAGATCATCTAGTCCGACCCCCTGCCATGGCAGGAAAAAGTACTGGGGTCAAACGACCCCAGCAAGATGGTCATCTAACCTCATGAATTCATGATGAGTGGTTGCTCCTTAAGGAATTGATCCTAGAAGCACAAAGGGAATCCATCTCAACCCATAGGAAAGGTGGTAAAAGGGCTCAACAACCCCCTTGGCTCAACAGGGAACTCATGGACCTCCTACATCTAAAAAGAGAGGCTTATAAAGGATGGAAAACAGGAAACACCACTAGGGAGGAGTATTCTGTACTGGTCCATACCTGCAGGGAGCGAACTAGGAAATCCAAGGCTGCAACTAAACTCCAACTGGCTACATGAATCAAGGACAATAAAAAGTCCTTCTTCAGATATGTGGGGAGTTGAAAGAAAATAAGGGCAACATTGGACCCCTGCTAAACCAGCTGGGGCAGCTGACTACCAACACCCAGAAAAAAGCCAATCTGCTTAATGATTACTTTGCATCAGTTTTTCACTAGCCCAAAGGGATCACCCAGCCTAACATGATGCGGGATGACCAGGGTGAGGGTGAATATATGCCCACCATTGGCATGGATCTTGTGAGGGAGCATCTTGAGAGGCTGGACCACCACAAATCAGCTGGTCCAGATAGATTGCACCCAAGAGTGCTAAAGGATCTGGCAGACACCATAGCGCAGCCACTGGCAAGGGTATTTAAGAACTCATGGTGCTCAGGCAAAGTACCTGAAGATTGGAAGAGGGCCAGTGTGGTGACCATCTTCAAGAAAGGGAGGAAAGAAGACCCAGGAAACTATAGGTCAATCAGTTTGACATCAATCCCTGGGAAGATTTTGGAGAAAAAAAAAAAAAAAATCAAAGAAACCATTCTTGACAGGCTAACAGAAGGCAACATTCTGAGGGATAGCCAGCACGGGTTTGTTGCAGGTAGGTCTTGCCTGACCAATCTCATTTCCTACTATGACCAGGTGACGTATCACCTGCACGAAAGGGAAGAGATTGATATCATATATTTGGACTTTAAAAAAGCCTTTGACCTGGTGTCCCATGATGTCCCTCATGGAAAAATTGGGCAACTGTGGCCTCGACTACTCCACAGTCCGATGGCTGGGGAACTGGCTCTGAGGCTGGATCCAGAGAGTGGTAGTTGACGGAACCAAATCAACATGGCACTCAATGACTAGTGGTGTCCCCCAAGGCTCTGTTCTTAGACCTGTACTCTTTAAGGTCTTCATAAACGATCTGTACACTCATTTTTCTGGACACTGGTGTCAGAAGCGGACTGGCTAAGTTTGCTGATGACACCATACTTTGGGGAAAAGTGTCCACACTTGAGGAAAGGCTGGTGATCCAGGCCGACCTCGATAGGCTTGCAAGGTGAGCGGATGAAAACCTAATGGCATTCAATATGGAGCAATGGAAGGTGCTCCACCTCAGGGGGAAAAAAACCACACATCAAACTTATAGGCTCAGCAATGCTACACTCACTAGCACCGTGACTGAAAGAGACTTAGGTGTCATGATTGAGCACAAGATGAACATAAGCCACCAGTGTGATATCATAGCTCGTAAAGCGAACAAAACTCTGGCTTGTATCTACCGATGCATCTCAAGCAAGACCCAGGATGTCATCCTCCTGCTATACTCAGCCTTGGTGAGGCCGCAGCTGGAGTAGTACATTCAATTCTGGGCTCCACAATTTAGGAAGAATGTGGAAAAGCTTGAAAGAGTCCAGAGGAGAGCCATGTGCATGATCAGAGGGCAAGAGAACAGGACTTATCAGGAGCGGCTGAGAGCCATGGGACTCTTCAGCCTGGAGAAGCGCAGGCTCCGGGGTGACTTGGTGGAAGCCTATAAGTACATAAGGGCTGTGCATCAGGATCTGGGGAAACATCTGTTCACCAGAGCACCCCAAGGGATGATAAGGTACAACAGTCACAAACTCCTGCAAGACCGTTTTATGCAGGACATGAGGAAAAACTTCTTTACTGTCCAAGCCCCCAAGGCCTGGAACAGACTCCCCGCAAAGCTGGTGCAAGCAGCTACTCTGGACACGTTTAAGAAACATTTGGATGCTTATCTTACTGGGACACTTTGACCCTAGCTGACTTCCTGCCCCTTGGGCAGGGGGCTGGAACCAATAATCTTACGAGATCCCTTCCAGCCCTAATGTCTATGAAAACTATGAAACCCGTGAAATGGTCTTGAAAGTGCATCAAGATTCTAATATGATACAAATACATCATCCTGCTTTTCTTCAAATGCAAAACAGAAATAGTTATTGAAAACTTTTGCCTTTTGTTTCTTGCTAAGAGTTTTACTATTTCTATCTAGAAATTAGTCAGTATCATGAATAGCATCCTCTTTTTTACTTAAGTGTTTGTAAAGTCATCATCAACCTTAGTTTTTCCAGCCATGATTTCTCCCTTATGTCATTAGATTATCTTTTCTATTTGCTACATTTCAGAACTTCTAATTTGTATTGACTGCTATCAGTTTTCCTTTCTGTGATGGGCAAACTAAGTTATGCTCAGGCTCTTAGCATAACTTTAGGCCTTCCCAGAACTAAGCAATTAAATCGTACAGAGTGCAATTTCCTAAGGCACTAGGAAAAGTGAGTGCTGTGACTGGTATGGTGGGCTACCAGGTACTGTAGTTTCCCTAGAAGGAAAGGAAACCAAAAACAGAACAGGATTGGAATACCTTATCTAAAAAGATGAGGTAAGAAACTTGAGGATTGGACAATTTGAGATGAGAAAGTTACAAAAGTAGTGGACAAACAAAGAGACAGTGTGTGTTCTGTGTTGCCACCCTGGGAAGACAGGAGCAATCTTGGACTTCTTGTTTTGAGTAACAAGGAATCCAAAAACTAACATCCCACACACCCAGCAGAGGATCTGAGGCCAGTACCACCAAAGCTCGCTGCTGCAACGCCTGATGGAACTGCTTGCCAGGTTGTATTACAAGGATAATAAGCTTGCAATAAGCCATGGGGTTACTAATAGAGTTCACTTGATACCAAATCAGATGAGGGGCCATGTCAGTCCTTGGGGATCTCTAGTAAAAGGAATCCAGGGGGCAACACTTTCCCTATATATTTTGCTTTCTTCTTATTGCTGCCTTCACTTGAATACTATTCCAGAATGTGCTTTTAGCTTTGGCTGTCTAATAAACAAATCCTTGAATGCAGGATGCTACTTTACACATGCAGAATATTTTTTCTCTTTGGCTAATTTATATAAGCAGTACTTACCACAAGCAACCTTCGCATCTGGATCAATACTGATATAAGCATCAAGAACAGCATCACTGATCTGATCACATATTTTATCTAGGGAAAAAGTAGAATGGTATTACAAAGTTTCTCCCTGTAACAGTCATTTCTGATAGCATAAATATGATCAACAGGAGCGGACAGTGCAATATGCCATCAGGCTGGAACCCTAGATGCAAGTTTGACAACTAAAATGCTGGAAGGGATCCATGACCAGGGCCGTCCCTAGGGGGGTGCGAGTCAGGGCGACCGCCCCAGGCCCTGTGGTTTGGGGGTCCCCATGGAGCCGGGCGAAGCAGTGGCAGTGCGGAGCTAGGCGAAGCAGCAGCTCTGCATCCATCCACTCTCTACTTCCACTTCCTCCTCCACACCACCACTGGCAACACTGCTGCTGCTGATGGCAGCGACAGCTTCTTCCGGTCCTGGGCCCATGGGGTCAGAGGCGGGGCAGGACCCCGCATGGGCTGATTTACCCCGGGCCCCGCACCCTGCTTGGGTCGCTTCTGTCCTTGACTGCTTCCATCTCCCACCTAAAATGCAAAACAGCAGACAAATCAGATCATAGAATCCTAGAAATTAAGGGCTGAAAGGGACCTTGAAAGATCATCAAGTCCACCCCCCTGCTCTGGGCAGGAATACTGGTGAGATCAAATGATCCCAGCAAGGTGTCTTGAAGACTTCCAAGGTTGGGGACTGCACCACCTTCTTGGTGTATCAGAGTCATTTCCAAATACCTGATGTCTCCCAAGTTATGATGCAGTCATCAAAAAGGAAAAAAATCTCTTCAAATGGCTTGGAGAATTAGTTTCAGTGAAAGGCAAGCTACAAAATTTTGTACCTGTGGCAGTGCACCTTTGGTGCCAGCCACTTCAAGGACTGGAGCAGGCAGCCACCAGGTGGCTGATTGCAGCGGCTATTTTTAAATGCAGGCAGCTATATAGAGAGGGCAGTTGGCTGCTAGCAAGGGAGGCAGCAACATCAGCCGACTGAGCTCTTGCTCGGGGACCTGGAGGTAAGTGAAGGGGCTGTGGGGAGGTGCAGGCTCCTATGGTCCTGGGCATGATGTGAAACTGTACCCTGCCAGGGAAGGGTGGCCTGGTGGAGATCCTAGTAGCATGGGAGCCCCCAGAAAATGCCAGGCCAGTTACCTCCCCTGTGAAAGGTGGGAAGGGGCACCTTCTAACCCCAGTCCCACATCCCTGGTGGTGTTCCAGCAGAACAGGGGGAGCCCAGACTCATTAGGAGCCCTGAGGCAGAGTCCAGGCCAGAGGAGGTACCTGGAGCCATGCCCAGGCAGCAGGGTAAAGCCTGGGGGCACAAGTAGAGACCCTGAGAGAGAGGGATAACAGAGAGACCTTGTGAGTGGGCGAGTGAGTAGAGGCCTTGAGAGAGGGGCATAGTGAATAGGGAAGAGGCCCAGTGCGCAACATGGAGGCCTGGCAAGGGGCCTGGAGCGAAGTAGGCTAACAGTTGTAGAGTCACTCAGCAAATGTTCAGGTGAGGACAGTGGGAGATCCGCAACAGACTGTGCTGGGGCTGACTGAGGTGTGGAGAGACAAGCCCAAAGCCAGAGTCTGGGTGGTATGAATGTGGCCCAGGAGAGCGGGCAGCATGAAAGAGGGTGAGAGCTGGCAGAGTGAATGGGACCCCAGTGAGAGAGGGGTAGAGTGAGAGTGGCCCTCCGGGGTAGTATGGTAGAGCTACAACTGTGTACCCAGTTTGCTCTGGACCTAGGCTAGAGAGGTAACACACAGTGGGGCATGTACAGGGCTGGTTGGAGCGTGCACTTATGGCCCTAGCCATCCGGGAGTACAAAATGTAGTCTCCTGCTCAAGTAACAGCTGAACTTTATTTTCATCAAGGTATCACAGGAGAGTGGAGCAGGCAGACTGCCCAGAGACAGGGGAAGACTGGAGGTGGAGACCTGGCCGGGGAGGAAACCCTGTTACAGTGCCCAATGAAAAATGTTATTTAATGTATTGGTAATGAAACTGCTAAATTCTCTGGGGCAGTAATTGTTTTTAATTGGCTGCAGAACTTGATACACTGGGGCTGCTTGTACACACCACAGGGGTTTACTTCAGTTTAATTCTCCCTAAATTGAAGTGGTAGGTTTTTAAAAACACCACGTCAGTTTAGGGAGAATTAAACCAAAGTAAACCTCCATGGCGTGTACACAAGGGTTGGGCCCAATCCTTGCCTGCCTCTCCAGCGGTGGGATGAGTGGGGAGGACAAGCTGCCAATGGGGCGAGATTTCCCTGAGCTGCAGCGAGCTTTCCCTGAGCTGGCGGCACCCCCAGGCAGCACCCATTCGCAGGCTCCCATCCCAGGCTGTCCCAGGGGGCACCACAGCTGCAGAGGGAAGCACTGCGCCCCTGTGCAGCTCAGGCAGGCTCTGGTGAGGGGAGGGGAAGGGGGTGGAAATCAGGCTTGCCTTTTTTTTTTTTTCCTTCAGTGGAGCCTGCCTGTACAGCCCCTGAGCTGCATGGGGCCCAGTGCTTCCCTCCATGGCTGTTGCATTTCATTAGGTAGCAAACTAAAACACCTTGGATGTGTTTTTTATTTTGCTACATCCCAAAGTCATTTAATACACAATATGCCACTGACAGGTAAACAGCAGCACCATTAAAGCACAATACACCCCTGATAGTGTAAACAGCAGCACCATTAAAGCAGTGCAAAAGGGCACTTAAGCCACTTTAAAGGCCAATTTTGTGGCGTGTACAAAGGCCCTGGGATACTAACCCACCTGGAGCTTTTACTTACCACAGGTCTAGGATTAACTGCATCTCCAATCCTTTTGTGGCCTTTACGAGGGATCACTCCCAGGCATAGGCAACTGTGGCAGGGGGCATGTGCCCCCTGAGATTTCTGCACCAACAGCAGGGTGTAGGGCATAGGGCCGCAGCCTGGCCAGAGCCAGGGCCCGGTAGCAGTGTGGGTGGTAGTGGTGCAAGTTCTGCACTGATAGTGGGATGTGGGGCTGCAGCCTGGCTGGAGACAGTGACCAGCAGCAGTGGGGGTGGCGGCGGCGGCGGCACAGAAGCTGTACTCTCTCACTATCAATGTTTTCACGTCTCTGTCCTCTACCAACTACCTTTCTCAGGATGGAAAATTGTGTTCTTCTAACTCCAGACTGCTGTTTTAGACTGAAGTACCTTTGCAATTAACTGATTATCCCAGCACGTCTGACTGTAAATCAACACCTAAGCATAGCACTGTTTATTTTGTACAAAATATGACAGAGAAAATAGAACTATAAACACTGTTTCATATATGCTAATCTGACACTGTAATGGACAAACTGAGTTATGCTGAGGCTCTTAGCATAACTTTAGGCCTTCCCAGAGCCAAGCAATTAAATTTATACAGAATGCCTTATAAGGCACTGGGAAAACTGAGTGCTGTGATTGGTACAGTGGGCTAACCAGGTACAGTAGCTTCCCTAAAAGGAAAGAAAACTAGAAACGTAGTAAGATTGGAGTACCTTATCTAAAAAGATGAGGTAAGAAACTTGAGGACTGGACAGTTTGAGATGAGAAAGTTACAAAAGTAGCGGACAAACAAAGAGACAGTGTGTGTTTGTGTTGCCATCCTGGGGAGACAGGAGCAACCTTGGAATTCCCGTTCGAACAACAAGGAATCCAGAAACTAACATCCCACACACCCAGCAGAGGATCTGAGACCAGTATCACCAAGGGTCGCTGCTGTAACGTCTAAGGAACTGCTCGCCAGGTCCTATTACAAGGAAGAATACTTGTAATGACCTTAGGGGTTACTAAATAAAGTTCACTTGATACCAAATCGGACAAGGGGCCATGTCAATCCTTGGGGGTCTCTGATAAAAGGAATCCTTGGGGCAACAGACACAGTATTACCTATCTTCCATGTGGGACTCCAGCAGGTCTCCATTTCACAGATGGTCCCTGTTGTCCCTCAGATCAGGGTCATTACTTTTTTAGTTCAAGGTCTTTTATCTTACCAGGCCTAATGAACTAAGTAATATCAGTCAGTAATATTAGTAATAGGTAATATCAGCCAGTAAAATTATTCCCCAGTAAGGGGAAATGTCAAAGGGCTGGGCATCTCCATAATCCGGGGCAGGAGTGTGGGGGGCAGTATACAGCCCCTGAGCCAGATCTGGCCTGCTAGCAGATTCGATCCAGCCCATGGGCAGATGGTTGCCAGCTCACTGGATCTGGCCTGCAGGCAGCTGGCAACATCGGCTACCGTGTGGTACTGGGCAGGTGGGCAAGAATGCTTCCACCCAACAGCATCAGCCCTTAATATGGCAGCATCAGCTGTGGACCTGGGCGGGGCTTCCGCTGCAGCTGGCTGGCAGGTGGGTGGCAGCATCAGCTGTGGACAGAAGCCCCAACACAGAACCTGCTGGTGGCATCCACAGCTGAGCTGCCACCCTTCTAGCGCAATGGAAGCTCCTGGAGCCTTGACACAGAACCTGCTGGCAGTGTCAGCTGTAGAACCAGGCAGGAGCTTCTGCCACATGGGGTGGGTGGCAGTGTCAGCTGTGGACACTGCCATCAGGTTCCACATTGGGGCTCCAGAACTGCTGGCTGCGCCCACCGCTGACACCACTGACTGGGTCCACGGCTAAGCTTTGGGGCCCCTGGCCAGCTACAGTCCGGACAGGTTCTAGAGAGAAAGGGGAAGACAGGCAGAGGAAAGGAAGTGAGGGGTGGGGAGAGAAAGGAGCAGACAGGGAGGGGAGAGAAGAAAGCTTCAAAAGCTTTCTTGAAGTCTTTGAAGTTATGATGAAGTTCTTTTTGGTGATCAATGATCATGGTATTTTTCACATAGTACTTGGTGTAGTGATAAGGGTTAGACGTTGGAGACAGTCCCTTGCAAGGGAATGTTTTATCACAGGAGGACTTTGAACATGATCCCTGAAGACTAAAGAGAAATCAAACGGAGGCAGCCACATGGCCTGTGGTAAAGGAACCCCATGCTCTGGTATCATTAAAGGTCTGTTCTCTTTCTTGTTCATAGTTGTGGTTATTCACTGTGGGACCTAAATCATTACATGGTGTTGGAAGTG